TATTTTTTTTTTTTTTTTTTTTTTTTTTTTTTTTTTGATCAGCCATAGTATGAAATTATTTAAATAAATATATTAAATAAATGTATTATTAACTATCTAATGTAAAATTTCTAATGTCATTTTCCAACTTATATTAGAATTTAATTGAATTTAAAAATCTAGAAATGAAAGAAAACTTGTATTGCTTATTCCTTAGACCTATTATAATCCATTAATGTTTAAATATTTTTATTCATATATATTTTATATTCGCATTTATAAATGAATTATCAAATTAAGTAATTCGTAAATTAATTAATATTATATATTTCATCTATTATTCTTATAAATGTATACCCTAATATGGCGTGGTATTATACATGAAATTTGTGCAGTTGATATTTTTTTTTTTTTTTGTACACTTGCATATGAATATTTTGTTACATAAAATAGATAAAATTATAAGACGAAAAATTATACATATAAAGAGAGGAAGAGACAACAAACTGGCTTACTTATACAGAAGGTTTGCAAAAGAGATTAGAACATAGTAAAAAATATGTGTCATGTCGTTGAATATTTGTTTTTAACATTTTTAGATAACCAACAACATTGTACATTACAATTCTTTACAATATATTTTCACTATTTACTTAGCATATATAAAATTATGATTCATATACTTGGTTCATATAAAACTTTGTATAAATTAATCATCATTTGGAATATATTACTATCTATCTATCTATATCTATAATAATCTAAATCTATAATAATATATGGAATCTATATGCCTAATAATAGTTAATCAAAATAATTTGAGTTCTACTTATTTCGTATATATATTATATTTTTGAAAGGACATTCAAATTTTAGCAGGATGTACTTTTACATTGCGTTTTAAAATCAGTTTTCATATCCTTAATACGAATATTTCATAAATACATTATTGTACTGATTTAAGTACTCATAAGGTATGTAAAAAAATTATTGTATAACAGATGTGTACTGCTGAACAAAACTTTTTAACAATTAAATAATGAATTAAAATATAGATAGAATTAAATCGTTCTATAAATCATAATATTTTCTTGTATCGTTTAAAAAGATTTATGTATAAAAAAGGAATGATTATTCATAATAAATACTTAAATGATTGAAAAATTAGAATTTTTCATAATTTTCGCGTGACTGCCTTTAATTAATCACTTAGAGCAATAATAAACCTTACATTAAAAAAAAGATATATTTAGCTGTAGAAAGTAGCAATAGATAATTTAATTAATAACATAATAATCCTAGTAAAATCGTCTTAGTCATTCTATTTTGGAACGAAGTCAAGGAGAGAATATGTGTTAAGAAGTGCTATTAGATAAGTCCTTGAAAGCTTAAGGTAAGCTAAAATTTTACGAAAAATTTATCCTTAGTTCAGATTTAATCTTTTCCTTAAAATTTATAGTTAATGCCTCAATTAATAAGGTTTTACTTTAGTTCAAACAGCTTGCACTTTCAAAAGGATGTAATTATAAACTATTTTAGTTTGCAGAAAAAGATAAGTAAAAAATATTTTACTTTAACTTAATGTGTTGATTTTACATCTATTTTACAATTAATTATTTAATTTTACAAAACTATAATATATCTGATTAAAATTTAATGTATGTTCCGATCATTAAAATCATAATAAGTTGATGTAACAATTGTTACTAAATAGCATTCTGTTATAAATTCTAGCATATTTAATTTTAAATCTTATCTTTTCATCAAATGCGTATGTTCTCTGCATTTCCTACGTGTTTTTAAAACTCTCAAGTAATGTTAGAAAATGTACCGAATTGAATTTAATGCCAAACAATATGAAAAACTTGCAAAATACATATTACTCAGTAAAGAAAATATAATTTACTTATAAAACTAATTATCTATTATTTAAAATAATATTTTTAAAATAATAAAAATCTAGACTTTATAAGAAGTAGCAAAATTTTGTACTTTTGTTCTTGTAAATTTACTGTATTTGTAAACCGATTAAATTTTACAAAGATTTATATAATAAAGTAATAATATTTTACCGTATATTTTTAACTAACTACATAGTACTTAACTTAAGGATTATGTAAATTTATATTTACATAAATATAAAACAATTTATGAAAGATTAATGAAAATTAAATTTATATTTGACTTTATACATTGAAAATTCACTTAAAATACGAATTCAAGTATGACACGCGAAATGGTATTCCGCAATTCTTTAGGTATTATTGCAAAATTAAATATATACCGATTCTAACAATTGCATACAACCTTGGCTTATAATTGGAGAAATTTTATCTAAATATTTAACAGTATCTACGTCAAAAACTCCATTAAACAATTAAATAAGAAATCCTGCATGTAATTTTTGAAAGATTTCTTAGATTTAGTATATTATTTTAAATGATATAATATGCGATTTGAATAAAGTATAGTAGATATTTCTATATTATTTTTTAATTCTTTTTATTTTTAAAACAGATTATTGATATAAAAGAAAAAAAAAATTATATGTAACAATGCATTTAATTTAAATAAAATAAACATATTAATCTTCCTGATTAGAATTTTAATTTTAATATAAAAATTATTTTACATTATATGTTTCATCAAGCTAAGGTAATTTCTTTTTTCATGTGAATGTAATAATGAACTAGAATGTGTTAATTGAATTATTCAAATTTTTTACTCTTTGCTTTAATAAAGTTTGTAATTATAACAATGTTTTTATTAATGATGGCAAAAAGTATGTTTACAGACTGGCTTATTATTAATAACTTTAAGTAGATAAACAAAAAATTTTACAAATAAATTTTCCGACTATAAATAATGATAATATTTTGTCACTTAATTGCCCAGATTTTATTAATAACATTTTATACAGTATTATATTTTTAATATAAATTGCCAATATTTTTAATTTATTTTCTTAAAGTGAGTAAAAATGAGAAACAAGTATTTTTCAAATATACCAGTAAATGTACACTTATAATTGTATAATTATAATATAAGATCAGTAATATTACATAATATTGAAAAACTACTGATATAAATAGAATTTATAAAATTTCAATTACTATAGGCAATGTTACGTATAATTAATGCATTACTATGTTTCAGCTTTTATTAGAAAACAAGTTTATATTTAATCTTATATTTTATATTTATATATTAAAACATTGAGGATATCGATCAGTTATAAATTCATCAAATAATTTCTCGAAAATAATAAGATTATAATTAAAGTTTATTACAAGAGAATAACTATTATCCATGCTTTTTCTAAGAGCTTGAAAAAATTTTATATTTAGTTATACAAATACAATAGATAATATATGGTAAGCCAAGAATCTACATATTAATTAGGATATTATTAAAATTTAATATTCAGACATTGATGAGGAATAATTATTTATATGTAATTAGCGATTAAATGTAAAATCAACAAATGAAAATAAAATACAAATGTGCTATTCTAAATTCAGCCTTTGCAACAAAAATAAATCAACGAGAACAATTTAGAGTTTCCTGTATGTATAAGAATGCTTCTAATTAATTTTCTTCTCATCATTACTTATAGAATTATTTTATTAAAAAAAAATAATTATTTATGTTTCAAAACTTGAATATAGAATATGATATATTACAATGCGTATTAATTGTACTCATTTTAAAGTTTCATTAAAAAGAAAACTATTAATAACATGTAGGATATATCGATAATGTTTTTTATTAGATAAACTAATTAATTATACTGTATTTATTTATATATTTATTTATTTATCCATATATGAAGGTCATTAATATTGTATTCAATTATTTACTTGAAATATATTTTGTGTAATTGTATCTACGAATTTAATATATATATAAATTCATAAAATCTATTTATTTTTTTTTTTTTTGATGGATTACGCGAAAATGTAGATGATGAATAATTACTTATTCAATCATTAATAATAATAAAATTAATATTATTAAATTTGTTTTATTAACTTATTACTTACTTAATTATAGTGTATTGTATATAGTACGAGTCTTTAAAAACTGTAACATCTTGTAATCAAATCTTCAGGATTTAAAGGCATTTTATCTTTGTAGTTAGATATACTGTACTCATTTCTCTCTGTTCATCCCTTTCCTCTAACATTCTTTATCTTATTGCCTCCGCCCCCTGCCCCTTTCGCTTTTTCTGGTTCTACTTTTATTTCTAATCTGACTTTTTTAAAATTTATAAATTCTGACTTCCGTGAAATTTATAATATATCTCTAAATATATGGTTTTTCTTGATAAACGTTTAAAATTAATAACAAATTACTATACTATTATTAATAACAATTATCATACGAATTATAATTATTCAAGAATTATACTTGATCTGCTCCTTATACAGTCATTGCCAAGTCTGATTAAAAATTGTTTTAAATACGTAGTTGTTTTATTTCTATGAACAAAAAATCTAGATAAAAGCCATTATTCTAAATTCAGAACTTTAAAACAAGGTGTATAAAATTTCAAAGTACTAACCGCGTTTAACTTTTAACTTTATGTACTTTCTCATGTTAATATTTTTCTTTTTATTCAGTTTAATCAATACACTACGTTCGATTTATTTTAATTTCGTTTATACAGCTTACATGCGTAATTATCTAATTACTATTTTTATTCCTACTGTTAAATTATTAAGGCATAATAAATAATTTTCATTATAACAATTTTAATTTTTCCTTCCTTTAGTTTATTTCTTATTTTATTGTATATCTTCATACTCGGCATTATAAGTCTATTGAATTCTCTTCTCACTATTGTTAATTCAAGCAAAATATCTATACTTTTTATAAAAATTATTATTCGGAGAATAAATTCGAAATAGCTTTAACTATATCATATAGATAAAATAAGAATTTTTTTATACTTACTCATTAATTACTGCTTTGTTAATTAAATTTACGTAATTTTATATCATGACAGAGAATATACTCACCAGAACATAAACAGCGAATGGCATGACGACCATAGCTACGAGAAGATCTGCTACAGCAAGACTCACGATGAAATAGTTCGTAACAGTTTGTAAAGTTCTCTCTCTTTTTACCGCTAATATGACTAGCACATTACCGAAAATCGTCAGACATGGCACAACAACTAATATAAGTGCCCACCAGTTTTTTGTATCATCGTCCTTCACGCTTGGCACACTAGCATTACACTCACTGTAATTTCCTAAACTGTTATTCACCATACAACTAATATTAGCGTAGCTCGCATTGTTGAGATTTTCGGAATCGTAATACGAGGTAAGATTTACGAGTGAACTATAATTTAACTTATTTATATAATCATTTAAGTCGTCAAAAATGAATAAATCTGAAATAATTGTATAGTTATCAGTCATTGTATTATTAGAAACCAAAGCCGCTGCTTTTGGTAATGTATTGTTGTTATTCGTATCATTGATCCAATCAAATTCAAAATCAAGACTATTACTGTAGCCGTCGTTTCGCATAAAAATGCTGCTATTATTGCCATTAGTATCACGCTGATATAAATTGATTGACGACCGATCTGTATCATTTCTGGTTGATATAGTCGTAATATTTGGTAGTAAAACTGTTGGCGTCGTCTCGGTACCCATTCGATTTTCCATCTCTACTACATGAACGACAAAAATTTAAACTACCAAAGTTGGATCTTATTTATTTTCTCGATCGATCTTCGTTTCTTCTATTCCCATTGAATAATACCATTGTCTATTTGATTTTACTCTGCTTTTCTATACAACCTCATTATGATTTTAATGTTATTTTTTTTTATTATTTTTTTTTTTTAATGCGTATTAATAATCGAAGTATTTCTTCTTCTATTGCTTCGCCCTTGGCTTTATAATATTAATATTACTTTCAGTCAAAAGCCAGTAAATAATTTTATAATTAATGGATTTGATGTCATCCATTCGATGTAATCCGGAAATTTTATTGGTCTATCTGAAACATTAGACAGGCAATTATAGCTAAATATAAATAATGTATAAGAGAATAATTGAAATAGACAATAATCATATATCGACTGAACTTTTGTAATTTATCAATTAAGTATTATTAACATTTAAGAGTATATAAATCCTGTATGAAAATATAGAAGTAAAATTAACTATAAATAACATTTGAATATAATTAGATTTGATATAGTATTAAAAATTTAATATAATAATTTTATATAATATATTATTTAATATATTACATAATATCTAATATAATCAAATATAGTCTGAATTTGACGCATCTTTTATAATAACTAATAGAATATAATAGTATAAGAAAATTGTATGAGTTCTTTGTTATGCAATAAAATAATATTAATTTTCATATTAAATCATACAAGTGGAATTGTAAAAAAACAGACAATATTCTAATGAGAGTAAATATTCAAAAGAAAAAATATTAACATAATTTATAATACTTCGTCTACAATATTTAGATTTTGTGAATAAAGTCTCCTCTGTTGGCCTTACAAACATACATTTTTTATTTTCAGCTTTTTTACATATAATTTCAATATATAAATAACGACTCTACAAAGTGATTTAAGTGGATTATAAATATATAACATAAATACATTAATGGATTATAAGTAAATGTTAAGAATTTCATTTCAGAACATTATAATTTAATCTAATAGTTCAATGTTTTATTTATTTATTTCTACTGTAATTGAAGTTGCACGGGCTTACATCAAAATTCACTCAAATTAAATGTATTTATCCATTAAATATATTTGCATTTTATTTTAGCGTAAGTTTATATGTATTTTTTGCAATTTATTTTTCATACAGCGTTGTTTTCAATAGCGTTCGATTTTTTTTAATTCTTAGCAGTTTCTTAGCATTATTCCAATAAATTTAATATAAAAATAATTATGATTTAATATATAATAATTGTATGAACTATGATAATGAAGCTGAGGTAATTCATTATATATTACAGAATTAAACTAATAATATTCCCTATAAATAATTAAATTAAGATTAATTTGTACTAATATATCCGTATAAAAAATAAATTTATAAAGAAGAGCATTGAATTGCTTATTAATATATTAATTATAAATAAAATCATAATTATTATAGTCGGAATTAAATGTAAAAAATTTTCGTAAATTTCGGTCGATTATCTATAATTTTATCTTTATGCAGAGAGCGCAGAAGTTTTGGTCATAAATTGTTATTGTTTCGAGATCACTCAGTGATACAGTTTTCTGATAAATTATCAGCAATTATTAATGAAGTATTTTTAATCTACAATCTTCCATTCAATCCTCATAAGATAAATTCCATGCGAAGTGCTAAATTGTGTGCCATGATATTATCTTCTATTGTAAAGTTGTTTCCCCATTTAAGATATATCACGTTTCCCTTGCTTTCGACCACTATGTCTGCCTGTCTGTCTCTTCCCCCTCTTCATCTCACTCACTCATTGACTCTTGTTCGTATGCTATTATTAGATTAGACTGGATTGAATAACCCCACCTTGCAATTTAATTCGGCCTTTTTAACAAGTCGCATTCCCCCAGACTATGGCTTATGAGTAATCGCTGTCCTCGGTAAATTCATCTGCATCTATTTCATCTGTGAAACATTATCAAGGCTTTATGAAATTGATTTACTATATTGATTATAGATTAGATAATATTGCTTCTTTTTTTTTTCTTTTTTTTTTTAAATATTTAATTTCTATCGAACAAATGAATACATTTGTAAATGACGTTTTGAAATTCAGAAGATCTAAGTAATTTGACAACTAATATAAGCTGTTGTTTCTGCCGTAATTATGATTATTCCTATTCTTCTAATGCACGTTAGCGAAGTTCGAATTGAAGTATCGAATTTCAATCAGGTATGATTACAAATTATTTATTGATTAAAAAATGTATTCAAAAGCCATAGATCTTCTTGGTATTTCATTTCAATCAAAATAATAATCTGTAAGCATTTTCGTTGCTACATGATGCATCATTGATATATAGTATTGATGGAATGAATATCCATTTTAAATGCTTATTCTTTCGTATAGTAAATTTTTTTAGTAAAAATCTTTACAATAATACACTTATAACTACTAGTTTGTATTTCTGTGATTATAAGTAAGAATGTAGGCTCTACTTTTTTCATAATAATGTGATGATTCTAATAAAGCTCATCGTATAAATGTAATACTTAAGCTATGACTATACGATCTTAGTAAAAAAAATTTTTTTCTTTTTACAATTTTTAAAAGATTATATAAAAATTTTTGATGGAATAGCTTGTATTTATTATTATTATTATTATTATTATTATTATTATTATTATTATTATTATTATTATTATTATTTGCAGCGGATGTCTTATATTTCTGATAAGCAATTTCTATAACATAATACATTCTTGCTTTAGCTTCAGTGATGTTACATACGAATTAATGGATTTATAAGATGGATATCGAGCATGATTATAGTAACTTTCAAATATTCAAATCACTGCTAAATATCATAATCGATTATAATGTTGGATTCAATACTATACAGATAAATTCTAATATTAAATGCCACAATATACGGCCTCGTAAATACAGTACTTTCTCTCGGCTAAAGTAGTTTTTCACTTTAAATGATAAACTGTACGTATCACATAATTGTCCAAATATTACTATAAATGTATATCGATGAACATATCTTTCAATAGAACTGTATGATATTTTATCACTCTCAGTAATAAAAGTTTACAATAGTGCTTAACTTCTCTTTAATGCGAAATATATAGAATATAATTTTATTTGAATCGAATACTAAATTTTATGGCTTGGATTCAAGATTGATTTGTGTATGGTTAAAACTTTATAAATATCTATAGAATTTCGTTAATTCAGAATATTTCTAAATAAATTAATGTAAATTTCATATTAGATAGAAAAGGTGTTTTTTTCATTTAATATTTTGTTTGATATTTATTTGTTTCCTGTTTGAATTTTTAATTGTATATATTATGTTTTATAAAAAGTTTAAAATTTTTCACAACAATCAACTGTATATCTTGTAAATAACATATTTTTAAAAAAATTTCTCCCTTAAGAAATAAATTGGATGTTTTGTTTCATTTGGTGAATCGTTCCAAACATTTTAATTTTACATATTGAAAAAATAAATAAATAGGTCCATAATGCTATCATTAAACTATCACTAAAATATTGCACACACATATTGATTATTGCAGTTGAATGTGTGGCAGCGCGAGCACTTGTAATTGCAAAAATTTATGTTTGAAATATGTTTAAATGTATTGTCACGTGCCTTGTATAGGTATGTCTTAAATACACTATTACTTAATCTTCTGATGGACGGTAAAGTTGGATTGAAATGTGATGATATTGAATTTTTGACTTTACAATTGAGAGGTTTGGAAATTTTCATTAAATCGATCTCCACGTAGTTTCATAACATCATAATCAATCTCCGTAACGTCAGTTACTTTTTGAACGATAAATTGACATAGTTGGTCAAGAGAAATACTTCCATACAATTTACATTCTTCATTGTTACCGCTAAATATTCAATAACTAGATTTACTTCCCAAATACAATAATAAAGCCTGGGATATGTGTAGATAATTAAATAAATAAAGAATTTCTGATAATATAACAAAATGACCTTATAAAAATCTACTTAGACATAAACAATATGAATCTACCAAAAAACGAAGGATGTAACATTATATATTTACAATGTTTTGAACAGCTGTGTTTTGAACATTTGTGTTCAATTCTGCATTGTCATTCACTTTGTACGTCTTCTTGCTGCTTACTCTCTAACAAGAGATCATTGTATTGTGTAGAAGAAGCTTTTATATCATAGTGATACCTTTTATGAATTCGTCTTCTATGGATAAACTAATATCTTTCCTCCTTTCTTCCGTAGACTCTAAGTAAACAATTTTTCGGAATGACAATAAGATGAAAAAAAAATAAAAGGATAAAAGGAAAAACAATAAAAAATAGAAAAAAAAAATTTACGTCAATCACGAAGTATTGTAGTACTTGTGCATCAAATCGAATTTTATGTGAGATATCCAATTCTTTATATAAACGAATATTGTGGTTATTTTATAAGAAAAAAATCTGAGAACATACTTCGTCCATGTAAGCCCGATTAATATCTCAGACACATACTTAGATTCTTTGATTTCAATAAATGAAGTCTTTCGTTCGAGTATTGCAAACTTTCTTGAACATATATACTCAAATTCGCCAGAAGCAGATTTTTAAAATTTGTTTACCAACTAACTCATCAAACATAAAATCCCCTTTTCTTAGATGGATAAAATTCAACTGCATATGGTAATCTCCGCCTA